CAATATATTAATTAGCATGCATGATTATGGACTATTTTTTAATATATATATATATTTTTTGTATCTTTAACTTTAAATTGATAAATTTGAATGTGAGTCGATCTATATTAGTTAACTATAAAATTTAGTCTTGTATAAGGTCAGGATGGCCGAGTGGTCTAAGGCGCTGCGTTCAGGTCGCAGTCCACTTCTGTGGGCGTGGGTTCGAATCCCACTTCTGACAATCCTTTTACTCGAGATTGATTCAAGTAACCTGATGACCTCTTAATTTATTTTAACAAACAAACTTACTTTATTATTATTATAAATTATATTATATGAAATTCGGTTAAATTAATAAGTTGAAGGTTGTCAAATCAAAAATTTTCTGTCAAAGTTTGACAATTGAAAGATGTAAACTTAATGTTCGTTGTTGTTTTTTGTTTGCAGGTGGTTTTACCGTCGAAGGCCATCAAAAATGAACGCATCTTGGAAACACTGATGTACCAAGCGAACTCGGGGATGTATCGTCTTAACGACTCTTACTTGAAGGAGTGCACTCAGCGTCTTCAGAAACAGGACTCGCGCTTCTCCGAATGGGAATCCTTCGATTACAGCGCTTAAGGAACGCACAATTCGCCAGCACTGATTTAGAAGAAAAAAAACAGAAATAAGGAGGCGACGATGCAACAAACAAAAGAGAAAAACAAAAGAGAAACCGATTTTTGGGGGGGCGGAGACTATTTTCGAATAGAGAAACAAAAGCGAAATAAACAAAAGAAGGAAAACAAATAATTTTTAACAAACAAAAGATGACAAAACAAAACAAAAAACTTAAAAGAGAGAGAGAGAGAAAGAGAAAATATATTTTTGGGAACAAAAATCCATATTTGTATATTAACAAAAAAGAAAATGAAAATATAATAATTAAAATAAATTAATTGTATGATTGTGTAAGGTTATATTCGTTGATAGATTGAAATATTTAAAATATATATATATAAAATTGATCTTGAGGAGGAAAATTTGTATATGTGATTGCAGGACAATCCGATTTAAAACTTAAAAACAAAACAAAAAGTTCGATTTTGGTCGAGCAAAAATTTCGCGCGAACGGAGTTGGTTTCATTAGTTTTATAACAAAAAAAAAAATAATAAACGCAATACGTGTGCCTCTACGTTCTTACACAAAACAAAAAAAAAACATATTTAAAAAATAATAAATTTAAAAAAAAAACCACTAATATTAAATATATATATACATATTTATTCGTTGTTGTTTGCAAGATGTTCTATATAAATATATGAAAAGAGAGGTGTGTATATTATTGAAAGATGTCAGACCGTTGCTATGGATATAAATGTGTTATTGTCGTTTTCTCTGTTCTTTCTGCAATGGATGGGACACACATAGAGCATCAACAAGTAGAATAAATCCGTTGCTAAGAGACGACTTGTTCATTTGTATTGTACGATCAACGTGAACATCGCTTGCTATCATCATCAAGTCGCCACGGTAAATCAACAAGTTCCTTAGCAACAAAAGCTTCTTGTCCTACTTTAACATATACATGTTACGCAATTACATTTTAATGCAATTCAATTGGAAAAACTTCAACTATAATTGACGTGCGAATTGCAGTTTATGCAATAACAAATTATAAATCTAGCTGTTCTTGATATATCGTAACCATGATGTATCAACAAGTAACCGTGGTGACTTCAAAGAACAAATAACCAAACTGTTGCACTTTTCTAAGAAATTTCTTCGTTTTTTTTTTCGTTCCTTCTAATTGAAGTACCTGTGTTATTTTGGAAAATACTCGGCAGGTTATCGTGGACCCTGTCTGTCTGTATAAATGTATCGACTATAAAATCCAAGAAACAAAAAAAAAACAAAAAATTAAGGTGATTTGGTGTGAGGATAAATAAATAAACTAAACATAAATTGTATGATGTGAATTAAAAGAAAAAAATTATAAATAAGAAAGTATAATAATATTGCTGTTTGTATATGTTTCGATGTTATACATATGATGAATATATTGCGAGTATATAGAGATAATAACTATTTATTACGGGAGATGTACAGAGTGTTCAGATGTTTCCTCAGCAAACTGAGAAGAGGGGAAAAGAAACAAATAAAAATAAACGTACAGAAACACCGTAAAACTGTTCTCTCGTTTGCAAAGACTAATTTTACATATATACGACACATACATATATATATATTTTAATTACTTCCCCCCTTAGATAGCTATGAAAAAAAAAACAACAAAAGAAGTCGAGCGGAGAAAACAAAATAAAAGAAAACAACAAAATGTATGTATAGTTAAGAAAATGAAATGTGTTTATATATTAAGAAACCAACAAATATTTTGATACGAAAAAAAAATTAACAAAAAAATAATACGATATTGAAAAATTTCGAATATTGTGAAGAGTTGAGGACACTACGAGAATCTTATTGTGTGAAAAAAAGAGTGAATTTGAAAGAAATTATATATATATATATATTGAAGGAGAAAAAAACTTGGAGATGATGTGGTTTATGTATTATGTATAAAATTAAATTTAAAAATAATTGAAGGCAAAAAAAAAGATATATATATCTATAAATGGATAAATACAACTACTACTATTACTAATACTAATCTGTGAGTGTGTTGCGTAATAAATCTTTGTTACACTACGTTTTCTTTTCATTGTTGATTTATTTATTCGTTTCATTTATTGAAAAACCTTTATCTTTATACTCTTTTCCGTTGCATTTCTATGAACAGTGAAACTTAATTTAATTGAAAGAATCACAAATATTTTGAATCTTAGAAAATTCTACTTTTGATGTGAACTTCACTTTAATTAGTTCAAATTCAAATATTTAAAAACTATTGTATCTTTTGATTTTATTTAAACAATTACTAAATTTTGTATTTATTTACAAATTTTTGTATTCGTTAAAGTTTATTTTTAAACAATTAAAGTTGAACTTTGTAGACTAAACTTTCATTTATAAACGATTTCTTAACAGAAATATGTAATTAATTAACGAATTTTTAATTAATGAATTAAAATTTGCTGTTATTTGAAATGCAATGAATTTATATATTTTCATGACTGATTATGCTTAACTTTTGGTCTGATTTTAATAAAAAAATTGTGCGTTTTATTATTAGTTCAAATTCAAATACTTAAAAACTATTGTATCTTTTGATTTTATTTAAACAATTACTAAATTTTGTATTTATTTACAAAATTTTTGTATTCGGTAAAGTTTATTTTTAACAATTAAAGTTGAACTTTGTAGACTAAACTTTCATTTATAAACGATTTCTTAATAGAAATATGTAATTAATTAACGAATTTTTAATTAATGAATTAAAATTTGCTGTTCTTTGAAATGCAACGAATTTATATATTTTCTTGACTGATTATGCTTAACTTTTGGTCTGATTTTAATAAAAAATTGTGCGTTTTATAGTATGATAGATATTACAAATATTATTGATGTGTTGTCGAATACAAAAGTAATGTGCTTCAAGATGAAACAATAAAAAAAATAACAACAACAGAACAAAAGTGAGTTTAGTTTTTTTTTTCTGTAGAAAATGGAAGTGTAATCTGTTTTTGTTTCTAAATATCTGTTAAGCCTTGCTTAAATTGAAACAAAATGCGAATAAAAACAAAAAGAAGCTATGGAGGGGCGGTGGTTTACGAGTTATTTGACATTTGACAATAATAAATTGTTTCAACTGTTCTAAGAAATTTTGTTAAATATAGGACCCAAAATAAGTTCTTGTGGAACACCTGTTCTTCTTCTTCCTTCCACCACCTTTCTCATAGGGAAGTAATATAAACAATTTCCAAAATTGAGTCTCGGAATTGATGATTGTGTGCTTGTAGATAAGACCGCAACCAGACAGACAGAGTAGGATAGAAGTCTTGCAACCAATTATACAGAGCAAATGTTAGATCTTCTTGAGAAACACCTGTTATATAGTTAATTTATTTCATACAATTGAAGTTATGGTATTACTTTAATTTTTTATTGATTATTTACTACAATAATTTATTTAAAAGGTTCATATCTCTTCACACATCATCGTCGAACTGTCCTGGCTGCTTCCTCATCAGCTTCATGTGCGCCTTCTCGGTTTGGTCGTAGACCAAGTAACCAAGAGCTAGTGCTGCAAAAGAAATCGATTTTTTGTTTTGTTTAATAAAATTTTCCAAACTGTATGCAACACAACTTACGTGGGACGACGTAAAGGAAGGATTCCTTCATCCTGCGAAGCGTGTTCGGGATGCCGTGCGAGACGATACCGCCGAAAGCCTTCTGCTCAAAAGGCGACAACCTGTAGGTGATGATGCCCCTGAGTTTGAACAATTCTCCGAATCCGTGACCCATTTCTAAAACTACAAAAGAAAAACAAATGAACATGTATAGGCAACTTATTATACATAAAAAGACGAATTAAAGCCAACTTGATTAAGTAAATTATTCATTATATAAAGTTGACAATTTATTGTAACAAAATTATTATAAAATTGAGATAAATCATTCATTAAAATTGCTATAATCAAGTAAACAAGACTTTTGACACTTCTAAGTGACTGAAGTGATTATGACATCCAATTGAAACAAAACATTACATAAGACAAATGACGAACTTACAGATAGAAATCAATTGTTAATAAAAGAAAAATAGAAGCAAATGAAATCAATAATTTTGGACTTTGGTTACGATTTGAGGTTAGTTACGTAACTTGTTATAAAAACTAAGATCAAGAGAATTATACAACAAACAGTTTCACTTAATTTGCAGTAATTATTAATTACTCACCAACAAATAAAAAAACACTTAATTTATTTATATAAAACTTTACCTGTGATTTAATCCCTTAGTACTTCCAATTTTTCGGGCGCAGACCAATTTTTGACAATCGCTGTCAGATTTGATCGCCAGCTGCCAACTTAAATACACGTAATTGGGTTGGCAACGCTATTGTTGCTACAGCTGGCGGGAATTTTGAAACGAGTAAATGCATTTGGCTTTTATACGAGTTTCGTTTAATTTATTTCCGTGTAAGAATTTTAGAAATTTACTTATTTTTTTAAAAATTAATATGGAATAATTTTTCAAGTATTTCTGGGTATAATGATCGTTGAGGATTAGGATAAGGATGATGCATTTTACCTTGAAATCGTTGATTGCAACGTCAGCTGCTCCTATGCAAATAACAATATCAAGTGTTTGTATTGGAACGTGTTTCATTCGACGATGGCAACGAGCAACAAAGTGAAGAAAACGCTTGTCTTGAACAATGGCAACGAAATGCCTGCCATCGGACTCGGCACTTACAAGGTAAACATGAAGAAAGATATCTGTAAACAATTTATGCGTGTAACCTATATCAATAGATGAAACGGTTTATGTGGGGGCAATTACGATTTATTTGCTTATTTAAAAATCAGTTTAACAGATCTAAACAAGCGTTTGTTGACTTTAGCTTTTGTTGTTTGTTGTTGTCATAGGTAACTGTCTTGTTGACATTTATAACTTTTGTTTTCAGTCTTCCGCCGAGCAACTTGAGAAAGCCATAGAGGATGCGATCGATTGCGGTTACAGGCACTTCGATTGCGCCTGGTTCTATGGTAACGAGGCTGTGATTGGTAAAGCAATTAAGTCGAAGATCAACGAGGGCGTGGTCAAGAGGGAGGAGCTATTCATCACAAGCAAAGTAATGTCAATTATTAAAAAAGACAACAGCAGTTAGTTCTTTCAATTTTTCAGCTCTGGAACAATTTCCACGATAGGAAAAACGTGATGCCGACGCTGAAAGAGACTCTGGCGTCTCTAAATCTGTCTTACATCGATTTGTACCTGATCCATTGGCCTTTCGCATTCAAAGTAAGTGAATGGATTGTCAGTATTTTGATTTTTATGTACATTTCTTTTAAGGAAGACGTGTCGTTGTGGCCGGTGAGTGAAGGGAAGACGGCTTACAGCGATGTCGATTACTTGGAAACGTGGGCGGCGCTCGAGGAGTGCGTCGCTCTGGGATTGGTCCGCAACGTAGGCGTGTCCAATTTCAATAGCGAGCAGATTGGACGTGTCCTGGAGGTCGCGAAGATTCGTCCGGTCGTGAATCAGGTCGAGTGCAATCCGAACTTCAATCAGAAGAAGCTCATCGAGTTCTGCAAGGGCGAGGGCATCGTCGTCACCGCGTACTGTCCTTTGGGGCGGAGCGAGAATGCAGGCATGCCGGGATTCCCCGAACCGACGATATACGACCCGAAGGTGGCCGAGATCGCCGAAACACATAACAAGACTGCCGCTCAGGTCGTCCTCAACTATTTGGTGTGTATCTCCTCCATCCATCCTCGTCATTAACAATAACTGAAGAATTGTTTTTCAGCTGACTTTGGGCGTGTGCGTGATTCCGAAATCGGTGACGAAGAGTCGAATCCTCGAGAACTTCGACATCTTCGATTTCGAATTGTCCGAGGAGGAAGTGCAGTACTTGGATAGCTGCAACAAGAACGTTCGGGTGTGTCCGTTGACAATGTTCGCCGATCACCCGAACTACCCTTTCAACACTGAATATTAAAAACAGCACAACGCTTCCACAACCACCTCTAAAACAAACAAAAAAACTCTAAGCAATTCCAGAGGCCTTTTGATCCATATTGTTACGTTTCACGCAGATCTAGTAGCTTCTATCAAAGAGAAAACAAACATTGTTGTGGTATAGACACAGAAAGAGAGAGAGAAAAATATTGAGTATGAATTAAATTGAAAATTTTATTCTTATTTTTAACAAAATATTTATCACTTCCTTACGCACTACGTACACGTTCTGCTGTTTTCTTCCCGCAGTACAAATACATATAAAACGCAGTTCTGTTTTTTTTTTTCATAATTCAAATATCTGTTAATATCCGAATTAAATTACTTCGCAAATCTTATTTTTTTTTTTACTTTCACTAAAAAATAATAATCAACAACAACTCGGAAAAGTAGTCGCATCGTCCGTGAACTGCACATCATCATCCAGAGAAAGAGAGAAATATGGTTGGGGGGCGGAGAAGGGGAGGAGTTACTTTTCTTGAGGAGGAAGAGCATCGATAAAATATATATATATATATAATACATCATTTACGGGATTACGTTTTTCATTTTTTTTTTTATATCTTTCTTTCATTCTTCCATTATTTGTTTTGTTTTCGTTACGTCTAGAAACCGAATGGTAAACTAAGTGCTAAAAACGACGAACAGAAATCCTTTATAAAAGAACCTGGGCCTCGATCACCTCCGTTTGCTGCCCTCCGTTCCGCCGCGTCTAGTGAATCGTCCGTTAAGGAAAAAAAAACAAAACAAAACAACTGCTGCGTGAATCTTAAAACTAATTTTTAAATATCAAAGAAACCCGAGATTCCCAACCGAACGGAAAAGAAAAGCGTAGATTGTAGATCAAAGTGTATTATTTTGTACCCACAATTACACACACACACACATATCTTTATATAAAAAAAAAAAACAGGATATAAATCTTTTTTTTCTCTTTTCTTTCAAAATAACATTATTCTTGTGATGAATTTAATGCGTCAACTCACACGGACTCTTCTATGCCTGGTCGGTTGGGAATCACTGGTCTTATTCTATTCTATTCTGTACGCATTAAAAAGGATATTGTTTCTCCCTGATTTCGACGCGATCGTGCGACCTCTCCCTTTCCCGAAGGTAAGGCGACATCTCCTGCAAGAACACAAGACGATATTCACTAAAGTGTTGGCGCGTACGTGGATTATGCAGAAGGTGTTTGTACTTTTGATACAATCCACATGCGAGAAGCGCGTTTACGACCGGCGACTTACCCTAGAATGATGGTACTTTTCGCGTGCGTGAGGAGACTCGACCAACTCGCCGTTCTGGTGCATCATCTTCGCAGCTGAAACATTACTGTCTATAAGATAATAAGACTCATTTTGCGAGTCGAACGATTGCGAAAACTCATTACCTTTCTCCTCGTCCCTTTTCCTTTTGATCTCCGCTTGAAGCGCCTCCTCAGCTCGATCCTGAAAAAAGAAAGAATAGATGTAACACGAAAGTCTTTTCACGAATTCTAAATTTGATAATTAAAATTAGACACTTACTCGTTTTCTGCCCAGTTTTCGTTCCTTCCTCAGCTCCTTCTCCTCGTCGCTGAGCTTCTCACGTTTATCCTTCAACTTGCCGGACCGCTCCTTCTTCTCCATCTTCTCAATCACATACTCGACTTGCTGCAGCATTTTCCGGTCTTCGTGCTTGTAACTCTGCAGACAACCAGGGGGATGATACACATACATTAGGGGGTTTTTCATGCTTTCGATGCGGGGCGGGGGTCGCGGTTCGAGTGGGCGGTTCGTCGCTCGAGGCCACGCCCACGCCCCTCCCACAACACACACGCGCGCGAACGCCGAGACACCGGATTTAACGTAACGAAAATCACGACATCATCGCCGCCTCGCACTTCTCGTCGATGATGAGAGAGAAGAGTTAGATAGAGATACAGTAAAGCAATAATACATAACAATAATTGATAACAAAAAATTACAATATTAAACAAAATAAATAGTAATAATCGATTGAAATTATGAGATTTTAAATATACGGAATCCAGTCGACTTTAGTACAATTACATTAAAAAAAAAACTAAAGCTGAAAATTGAATAATTGATAAATACAATATATACAAAACATAAATTAAGCTCACAGATCGCCAATAATTGCAAAACAAATGATATAATAGGGTTGTCATTGGTTGCATAACGGAAACGCGAGTCGACTGGATTGGTCGTTGATCGTCGGAAAGAGGCGGTATTACATGCAGTGTAGAAAAGGGGAGTGATGGGCGAGTAAATGCGAAGAAAGAAAAAGTTGAATTTGAATGATGGATGAGCGATGAGAGAGGTGGAGTGGATAGTAGTAACGTAAGCATACTTACCAAGGTGGTCCTTTTTAAAAACACAGTAATTGCATATGGAAGATTGGGCTGATGTGTGAACACTTTTCAATATTATTTAAACAGGGTGGAAGGCGGGCGGGGAGTTTTGAAGAAGATCGCGTACTTTTGGCTGCACGCTTTTTCTACTACTATATACTTTTTTTTTGGTTTTTAGATTTTAGATTTAGATATCTAAATTGATAATCTTTCGCTTTTTCCCTCTCCGCGATTCATCGATTGAGTTGATTTCATACATCCATGGGTTTCCTTTTTAAATCCGCGTTTTCGAATCCATTTTCCGCATCCATTGATTTCCAACTTTTCTCAACTTCCAACGAAACGAATTCCTTTCGAACTTTATCCCAAGTTTACAAATTCCTTTCCAATTCGAATCCATAATTTTTAACTTTTCCTCGTTGTTTCGTCATCACCATTGATTGTTAATTTACGAAGGCGAATTTGCCTCGACCATACCATTTCTTCAGAAAAAATTAAATGAAATTCAGAAACGCAAAACTTCAATACGTGGACCATCATATTTGTACAATTGAGATAATTTTACGATGACTCAATTCTTCTCCTTGGACTCTTCATCCGAAATCATTAACTATTGACTATACTCAATTAATCTCTTTGCAGATGATCCAAAATGTGCATTAATTTACGTGCACTTCGTTGAAATTAATGTGAAACGATGTCTTCATCCAATCATCAAAAAAATAATAATATTGGTTATGTGGGTATTGCCAAAATGTGTAGATTATTTGTGGTTTTGTGCTTATACTAAATGAGCAGTGGCGCTTACTTGATCCATCTCCTCATGCATTGCAGCTTCTGGATTCAAATTGAACTCAGTGATAATTCCTTCCTTTGATGCGAGACTTCGTTAAGTTTCATCTCGGAGATACTTAATTTTCCTTTTCTCAACTTTCTCAAGCATTCCATCATCATCGATTATTAGGATTATTGCGATTAAGTAAATGAATGAATTCTGAAGATTTTGGCAGACACACACAAACAAAGCACACAACACACGAATATTGGAAAGTCTCTCTCACTCCGCTTCGATTCTTCCCCCAAATTCTCATCGGAGCTTCGTGCACTGGTGCATTTATTAATTAAACCCCGAGACGAATCTTCTATCCACTTCGAACACTTAGCATTAGAACATTTACAACACCGAACTCTCAATTAACATATTTTCATTGCCATCCTCTTATTTGTCGTTAAGTGCTTCAGCCCAATCTCCCACAGGTGACAACAAGGTACCAACCCTGAAATCTGCACCGGTGCTATCTCACTCCGATACTAACCTTCGATGATGGACCTTCCATTTTTCTTCTTTTAGCTTCTGCTGTAAGATAGAAATCAATTAATTTCAATAACATTCAACATTGATCGATGGTACACACCTCTATCAGGGTCGTTGGTCTCCTGGTTGTGCTTGGAGCTTCCGGAATTGTTCCCATTATTCAAAGCCACGTCGCGCTCCTCTCTGAAATCTCTAATGAAATAGCTCGTACTCCTCTCATCGTAATATCTCTCGTTCTGGCCCGAATACCGCATTTCATCCTTCGGACTGACCATCTCTATATATCGTTCATCCTGCAAGAAAAAACGAAAAGATAACCCTCAACCTCACGAAGTAAAAAAAAAAAAAACATAATCCCGAGACTCACCCTGTATTGCCTCTCGTCCTTGCCCGACGATATCTTCTCCTCTTTCCTCTCCCTGCGCTTCTCACGGTCCCGCTCTCTCTCCCTGTCCACTTCCTCTCGTTTCTCCTCCTTTCTATTGTGTTTCTCGCGTGATTCTTCTTTGCTTCGTTCCCGTTCGCTCACTCTTTCGTTCAAACTAAACGGTAACACAAGCAAACAATTACTAACACGAGCTTTAAACGAATGAAATGAAACTTACATAATGTCCTGAGAAGAATTCTGCGATTTTCTCGATTCCTCGCTAGCCTGTCGCTTTTCTTTGCGATCGGATTTGTCCCTGCTTTCTTTAGTGACTTCTGCAACTCGTTTATTATTAAATTTTTGATTAAATTCACGAATCGAATAACAGTTACCTTTGGAGTCTCCGTTGTGCTTCGATTCTGTCTTGGAATCGACCGACTTGGCGGCCTTCTCCTTCTCTGGATGATGGAATTCGTTGTCATGCATGATGTTGCCGGATGCGATCTTGTTCTTCAGCTGCCCCACGTAGCTGATGGCTAAAGTGTACAGGTCTTGTCTGGTGTTCTTCTCCTCCTCCGCTAGACGGTAGATCTTCTTTTCGAAGATTTGGCTCAGCTTGATGAGCACCGGGAACTGAGGAATGATCTTGATCAGGACGATAAGAGCGTTTCTGATCTGCACATAATCTTTGGATTCAAGGCATATGATGAGGGCCTTGGTTAGCTTGTAATGCCACTTGTGGCACACGTGCCGGTAATTTTCGTAACCAACTTGATCGACGTTCTCGGACTGATTGTTGGCTCGGAGTTTGGTGAGGAAGCCGGGGAAGTTTGAGCACTCCTTGTCGAAGATGTCCTTGGACTTGTGCCAGCGCATCAGCGTTTCCAGCATGGCGTGTAAGAAACGGCCGTAGCGCATCGCCTCATTCTCCGTGCACGAAGTAATAGTGTATGTCACATCGCAGAACAACTAAGTGGAAGATTAATTAACATGTAAGAAATATATATATGGATGACTTACTCTATCGTAACAAAGAACAGTTGAAAAATTCGCAGTCTTCAGGGCGTGTATGGTGTGCAGGAATTTGGCACAGTATACGGCATCGATCGCTGTAAAAGTGCACCTGGGGAAGATGCAGAGTTGCAGGAATCTGGTGATGGTGTCGTTCATAGCTGACTTGGAGGGGAACCAGGAATCCTTCTCCTGGTTCAAGCGATACATGACCTTCTCGACGTGATCGTGCTGCTTCTTTTTCTCCTCCTGAAGCTTCTCGATGAGCGTATTGTATCTCTCAATTTCTTTCTTCCCCTTGCTGGGATTCTGCTCGGCAACTCCCAGAGAGGCCATTTTTATCTTGTTGATGGCTTGCTGATAAGTTTCATCCGGCACGGACAGATCGTACATGGTAAGTGACCAGAAAGTTGTGAGGAATTGAGTTGATACGTCGTCCCACACCTTGGGCAGATGCAGCGGGATGAGAGACTTCTGAACCGGCGACATCACTTCGCACGCTGCCTCATAGTACTTCTGATTTTTGGGAACTTTCTTCGATGGATCGGCTTTCCGCAATTGATCATATTTTATCTATAACAATGATGATTCGTTGATAATTACAATTATTACAGCGATGGTTGGGAATATTTGCTTACGTTGATGGCGTGATGGAGCATGGGTCGCGCCAAGAAAAACGCGACTTCGTTGGGAATGTGGTGTTCCAAAAGCATCGACTGGATGGACGGTAGTTTGTTCACGTATTCATCCACTGAGAGGGTGGAGCCGAGGAAGGTTCCGAATTGAACGAGAGTGTCCTGGCACTGATCGGATAGCTTACCTACCAATTTCAAGTGGCTTTGCTGAGTTTCCCTGTACACTATGCAGTATTTTTGCTGCGCGATGAGCAAGCACAGAGCTACAGCCAGGTTTTGATCGGCCATGGCGTCCTTTAAGCGGAGAGAGGACTTCTTCGTGTTACGCACTTGGCTGAAGTAACCTGCTTCGACCTTAAGTAGTTCACCACCTGACATGGCATTCAACTGATCCATAGTCAGATCTTCGATCGTATCAATTCCTGCCATTTTCTGGATGATCTCTTTCAGGATCAACAAATCCAAACTTAAAGCAAACGTTAATGTAATGTCATTCATAATGATATAGGGTGATTCAATACCTTTTCTGCGCTTTCAATTGATTGGCGACAAACTGCAGCAATCCGGTAAGTTCGATATTGTACTTTTTAAACACGGCCCCGCAGAATGAGGACAAACTTTGGAGCCAATTGGAGATCGAGGTGGAATCATGCTTAACGCGTTTCTTCTCGGCGTTGGCCAGCGATTCTATCAGACAGAAGCCGAGCACGTCGTAGGATAAGTTAGTCAGGTACTTGAGCGAGTCGACGACGGGATGGATGAGATTGTCGTACACTTGGATTTGCACCAAAACGTAGTCGAAGAGGAAACCGGGCGAGCTGTGCGTCAGCTTCCCGATAATCCTGCCCGCCGGTTTGATGTTCTCCTTGCTAACCCTCTTCATTATGTTCTTGATACGCTTCTCGGAGTCACCGCGTTTACGCAACAGCTCCGGGTATATAGTGTACGTCTCGTTCTTCCATCTGCTGTAGAGGCAGTAACGCGTCTGGTAAGGATACAGTTTGAGGAGACTCCAAATCTCTTCGGCGATCGAGCAATTGCAGTCCAAGTAGGAGAGGGCTGGCAGGACGGAGTGATCCAGCAGACTGACGATGTCGTAGTAGAGTGAATCCTCGCTGGGCGGTGGTTTCGTGGCATCTATACCGTCCTGGAGTAAGGCCACCTTCGATAACCTCACGATCTTATAGAGCAGGATCGGATCGAAGTGCAGGGACGGTCCAAGCACCATCAGCATCGGGATGGCATCGTCTCGTAGATCGAAGAAGGTGTGGGCGCGCTTCGGCGCCTTCGGATTCCGGTGGGGCGCGATCGTTTTCCCCCGAATATTGCCCATTTTCCAATTTCTAGTCATTACGATTTATTGTGTTTTTGTTTTGGTTTGTTTCATTGATTGATTTTGTTTGATTTGAATGTGTTTTAAAACTTACGATCTGTAGACTGGTTCGATTACGTTGTGAAGCAGATTGCAAAGGGCCTTAGCGATGGGCTCCTGATTGACGGCATAGTGTTCGGGCAGTCTCCCGATCAGGAGCTGCGCCGTTTCCCAATCTCCGACAGTCAGCAGGGCCTCGCACAAGTTCAATTTCTGATTCGTGTTGTACTTCTCCATCGGATTCTCCTTCTCCTCCGGCGATTCCTCTTTCTCCTTGTTATTTATCGAAATGATTGACAACTTTCGCACGTACTCCTTGGCATCCTTCATCTCCTTGTCCCATTCCTTCACCATCACTTTATCGTCAGGCGAAAACTGTAATCATTCAAGAAAACGTTTCATTTATTCATTACCACCCCCAACTGAAATCAAATTTCTACACTTACCCAAATATAAATATCATCCAAGTTAATTATATTATACTGGAGTAGATGAGCTGCTAGAACGTACAGAGATCGAGGTATTGCAGCATCGCTATTCTTCTGCAGAGTAAACTTTGAACCCAGCACCTCAGATATAGTTTTGGGATCAGTCATATACGATTTTATGAGCGGAATGAATAGATGCGCATCGTCGGGTTTATTCTCGAAACTCTCCAATATTATATCTAGCACGCGATTTGGATCCAAATTGAAACAACCTAAAAAAAATAAATAACCATTTGTATTAATATCGCACTGCTATTTCCAAAAAATTACCAATAAGAGATTGAACTGCATCTAACAATTCCTCATGCTTCATATCCTTCTTGAATTCCTGATTCAATTCCGTCACAAGCTTAGCAAAGCCCTCATTCTCTTCGCGAAACAAATTGAATTTTCGCTGCTTGTAACTAAAAGAAATATAATCAGATTTAGTTGAGAAAAATTTACAAACCTCATTGAATAATGTGAGTATGCATCAAAACTTTAGATCAAACCTTCATAGAAATAAAGAGTCTACACATACAAATTCTCTAGCACAACATGGAAACACTTATGAAAAAGGCTTAACTCACAAATGTGTCAAAAAAAAAATGTGCTTGAAAATAATAAACCAGTTGATTTATACTCACTAAAGTTTTGTTTTGACTTTGATAAATTTTGTGTAGAATGTGCGGTTCTTCAAAATGCCAACCTCCTGGAGGGAATCAATCTCTAGGCGTTCCTTGAGGAGTTTGTCTGATAAAAATTTCTCGCACTCCTTAATAATGTAACAATAATTCAAGCGCTCTTTGGAATCATCGTTCTGCGTTCCGGATGTTTCAGCATCTGCTATATTCAGTATGTCCAATATAATCGATGGCACATCGTTGTGCAGTGTAACCAGTTCCTGTAGAATATTCACAACCGACTCCTTTTTCACCGCTCCATTTATTCCGTTCATAATAAGATCATTCAGGTTGCCTGCAATCTCGGTGAAGTGATCAAACATTGGACTCTTCGATTCATCTTTGATGAGCTGCACACAGAACTTGGTGCTGCAAAAATTAGTTAGTTAGGTTAGGTTCGCAATGTATTTAGGTATGTATTTCAATGTGTTTGTGCAACAGTGCTGGGTATGTTTGTAATCAACAGTTTACATTTGATGGTGGGTAGACGCGAGAAGGGCGAACGTTCGGGTTCGCCAGAATCGCGGAAACACAGCGATTCAGATTCGCACACGAATTTCGAACACTTACAATTCATTCTTTCCTGATTTCTCCCAATTTTTCCAAATATCAGGAGACAAAACATCAGCCATTTTCACTTCGATTTGATTACACTTGCATCTGACCACACATCTGACACACACACCGCGCCGAACTCACTTTAACACCTCTACCAACATTAAAGAAATTAAAGAACGAAATCCAAGCAAACCAGTTAGTGGAAATCACTGTGAAAGCAGCGCATTGCAAATAACGAATTGCATTCGTGTGCAGATCTCGAATAACTTTTGGACTTTTAAGAGAAAACTTTTAAAGTTTAAGTGAGATTTTTAAGAATATTGACCCTGAGTTAACATATTTCTAGTTTCCTCCAGGTTGCCAACAGTACTAATGGCGGAATCATGTGTTCTTGGTTGCGAGAGCGAGGAATTGAAATTTCAAATGGAACCTAGTGGAAATTCTTTGAAGAAGCTGGAAAGGAAGATGAGGAAATGCCACGCTGTTGTGGAAAAGGAGACGGGCATCCCGTGCTCCACCTCGAATCCTACCAAAGTAAGTTCTTATAGGAAACTTTTCTTTTTTTTTTGTGGTTAAGATCAATAATTCTAAAACAATTGCAAATAGTTAATACTTATTACTTAGATCTATTAATAAAAGACCTTCTGTTAAAATATCAGAACTTTCCGTTAAGGTGCTTCAATTGTTCTTAATTCACAATCTGCTATGGTGGCAATACTAAAACTATATTATTTTATATACAATCTTACACTTGTACGAGTCAAAGTTATAATTCTGTTTTTTCTTTTAGAATGTTGTGGTGTGCAATTCGGGATTATCCAATGGGTTAACCGAGGAAGTGGTGATGGAGAGCTTCATGTCGTTTGGAACTCTGGATAGAATTATCATGTTGCCAGGCAAATCTTGTTGCTTTGTGGTATTTAAAAATCTTGCGAATGCGAAAGATGCGTTCGAGCACATCAATGGGAAATTGAAGATCGCTCAGGACAACAAACCCATTCTCCTTGGATACTCTGAAACGCTGCCGGCAGTAAGACCGATCGATTTCAGGGTGAAGCCGCCTGGCTTGAAAGTGGTTCCGGACTTCATCAGCGAGGCCGAAGAGGAACTGCTTCTGTCTCTGGTTAATTTCGATGAGGATGAGGGCGGCGATGGTGTGATGAAGCATCGGCAGGTGAAGCATTTCGGATTCGAGTTTCGCTACGATATAAATAACGTGGACAAGGATGCGCCTTTGGAGGTGGGAGTTCCAGCCGAGTGCGATTTCCTTTGGGATAGGCTGAAGAGTCGCGGTCTGGATTTCCGGCCGGATCAGTTGACTGTGAATCACTACAAACCAGGTCAGGGTATTCCGCCGCACGTGGATACGCACAGCGCCTTCGACGAACCTCTGCTCTCCGTATCCTTGAGCTCCGATATCGTTATGGACTTTAGACATAGGAATGGCAAGCATCTTCCCGTCTTCGTTCCCAGAAGGTCGTTGACTATCATGAATGGGGAGAGCAGGTATGATTGGACGCACGGAATCACTCCGAGGAAGCTAGACGTGGTGCCGTCCGAAAAGGGGATCACAGCTAACGAGAGAGGTGTCCGGGTATCGTTCACCTTCCGTCGAATTCGACAAGGGGAATGCGAATGCATTTACAAGAGTCTATGCGATTCGCATAGACGAAAAGCCGAGGACATCTCCAACGAAATTGCAGCTAAATTGGAGAGCACGCACGTGCACCAGGTCTACGAGGATATTGCCGATCACTTCAACGAAACCAGACACAAGCCGTGGCCCAATGTCCTTGATTTCGTTCTCTCCATGAAGCCGGGCTCCATCGTCGTGGACATTGGCTGCGGGAATGGAAAGTATATGGGGATTAACAAAAATGTATTTGATGTAAGTAAAAGTTCAATTTGTATCCAATAATTATTAATTATATAAGTGAGTGTAAACTTGATAACAAAGGCAATCAATGTATGTTTCAGATGGGTTGTGATAGAAGCTTTAATTTATTGGATCTTTGCGTGGAGAGTGGATACAATGTGTTCAATTGCAATTGCTTGAGTGTTCCACTGAGAGACGGTATAGCAGATGGTGTTATTTGCATTGCAGTCATTCATCATTTGGCGAATGAGGTAAAGTTACCGATTTGCATTTTTTTGGTAGAATCACATTTATGTGTTTTGATTTCAGGAGAGACGAAAGCAATCGATTTCTGAAATGATACGTGTGTTACGGGTTGGGGGAAGGGCGCTGATCTACGTGTGGGCCAAGGACCAAAACTACTACAGGAAGTCCAGTTACCTGAAGCAGAACAGGAAAAACAGGAAGGACGAGACGGACATCACCGAGCAGGACGAGATCAAGTTCAGTTTCGACAGGGTGACGTTGCCGATACACACCAATCGCAAGCAGTTCTTGCACCAGGACCTCTTCGTGCCGTGGAAGCTGCTGAACGAGGGTACAATAAGTGACGAGTTCCTCAGGTACTATCACGTCTTCGAAGAGAACGAATTGGACTACCTGGTGCGTACGTTCGATGACGTCGAGGTGATCGAGAGTTACTACGAGCAAGGGAACTGGTGCATCGTCTTCGAGAAGGTCAAGTGAGAGAGAGATTGCTTCATCTTCAGACGTAGGTGGGCCTGAATATGTGCAGCAGCTCCGTGTACGTGTACCTCTGCAGGACCTCCAGGAGTCTGGGCACCTTCGCCTTCACGTTCATTCCTTTAAATTTATAGTAATCGATGTACAAGTCCGTTATGATTCCATGCAGCCTGTCCAAATAGGACGGTTGGCTGCTGAACTCTGCCCGAATGCTCGCCTTGTTCACAAGCAAATTCCTGTAGTTCTCAGTCAGATAACCCACAGACTCTTCGTCGTTGATCTCCAGCTCTTGCAGCGCGTCCATCAACGCCACCTTGTTGGCCAGCTGTATATGTCCGTTCAGCTTTGGATCGATCATATTCAGAACATGATTTATACTGTCATCATTGATTGCTGTTGGACAAGAAAAGAAAATTAAGATCTTCATAGCAAATACAAAAAGAACGTAAGTTAAGCCAATTTGGGAACTAATACAACTCGTATAATATATAAAGGACTTAACGTCATTGTTAATGATAAGTTGGGAAAGAAACCCAAGCCAATTCAAATACTATCGGTGTTAAGTGGTGTTAAGTTCTTAGCATATAAGAAAAGAAACTAAAAATATATCTGTCAATTTACACAAGAAATTTTTTTATATTACTTTTAACTATACAACTAATGTTTACAAAAACCTACTAAAGAAAAGCATAGATTCTAAAATGTTTATGAAAAACTGACGAAAATATTGCAACTTTTCGAAAGTATTTTTTTTTTTGAAAAGTTTATTTATATCAAAACGAAACTAAATTTTGATTTAGAGATCGAAATATCATTGAAGACTTACAAATGTTGATATTTAAATTTAAAAAAAAATCATATACATTTTATATAACGTTTTCTTGCTGAACAAAATTGGAGTTTTGGAAATTTGATAATTATATTTTAATGTTACAAATATATATATATAAATTATTTTTGTTATCATCATTTTGTAAGTTTCTAGATATATTCAAAATTGTATGCGCATAAAATATAATTGGTAAAGTTTAGTGTGTATGCGTCGTTGTATGTAGCAATTAAGAAATTGGTTGGTGGATATGGCTTCACTTACCAGCGTTCACTTCGAATTTAGTGTTCTTCCTAGTCGCTTCTTTGCTCAGGTATTCTTTAAGAATCGAGATGGTCGAGACGTTGTCGGATTTGAAGATCCCCTCTCCTTTCCTGAAGAAAACAACCATCAATGTTAAGTGTAGGCTATGCAGATGTTGTCGCCAAGTAAACTAACATTAACGAAACGCATTCCAATATATATAATGTATGAGAAAGCATTGAATTTCAATAAAGAAACTTACATGTATTTGCACTGCAGCATGGTGTCCAAGAAAGCCGACTGAAAGTTAAGAACGGTGTCTTCCATGGGATTAGGTTTTTCGGGAACTTCGGGCAAGCAATTGCTGATCCAAGCGTGGATCTCTGCCAAGCTGAAGGTGCCTTTCACGGTGAGCACGTTGTAGGGCCTTAGCGTTGACAACATTAAACTTGATTTAGAAAAAAAAAACAAGTATTCACTTACCGATTCTCATCAAAATGATGTATCCTGAGATGAAGCGAAAGCGGCTTGATGCTGTACTGCCGAAGTTGACAGAACTTCGGTTGGATCAGAGGTGTTACGTAAGCCTGTAGAGTGCCGTATTGTCCTTCGATTGTTCGGATCTTCACCTCCAATCTGTTCGTGTTTATTTGACAGCGGTAAGTTGCCAATAAATAGTTCTCTTTCTGCCGAAGAATACACATATTAACAATTTGATGTTTTCAATGTTACGCGCTTACTTTTGGATCGGCTTCGCTGTAACTCACAACAGCCGAGTTCTTCTCCACGTCCAATAGGTCTATGGGAACGTCGCTCTGCAGCAGCACGTTGTCGATGGCCGTTGGAACCTCGAGAGTTAAAGTATAAGACGCCCCGGATTTGGAGAGTACTAGCTGTAGAAGATTTAAATAATTTCGAAAAGTTTGAATGCTTTTTGAACTTACTGAATCCTTGATGGTTAAAGTTGGGATGGCCGAGAAATCGTCCATGAAGCTGTAAGTTAGAGACTGATACTTCTCGCGCTCCTTCACCAACGAGCCTTGAAGTTCTTCAATTTCATTGCTGAAGTAAAATTTAAGTAGTAAATAAAATTTGTACATTTGACGCTACTGTTACCGTAATTTGATGATCTTTTGCGTTGTATCCACTGAGAAAATATAGTTGCCGCTGGTACTATCTCCACCGACGTTCTTATCCGTCGTCTCCGTAGTTAACCCGAAGATCCTCCCAGTGTATGTTGAGACTAGGATTTCGTCGTATCCAACACTTCCGACTATTCCGCATTGCAGAGAAGTCACGCTTTCGTTGCAGTTCTAATTTCGATTGATCGATTAGTGTTAGGTAATAGGAAAACGAGATTAATTTACGTATGAGAAGATCAGGACGGCCTGGTCCATTGGGTCGGAGATGTGGATGGTGTAAACTTCGATATTTCCGTCGTTGCGACCGATTATCAAATTGTTGATTCCATCTTTGGTGAAGTCGTAGCAGTTCAAGCAAGAAACGGCGCTTGAATTATCGGGATTGGAGATCAACCATTTCTTGAATGAATGAGATCTACAATAGTTTAATAATTAAGTTTAATTAATTAAAGCAAATTGATAATACCTATCCAAATCCAATAATCCGATTTTGCCATCTACCGTCCCGAAGATGACGTGTTTTGAGCCTTCTTCCTCGTAAATGTAGAGAAGAGTTGGAGAGCTTTCGATCACAATGCTATGAGTGACTCGGGCGTGCTCCAGAGTCCTGATCATTCGACCTTCGCAAGCTATTAGAGATATCAATCGATAGGACTGTAAATAGCAATTTTAAATCAAGTCTACTTAATTGTATTAAGTGAATACCTTTTCCGGGTACAGAGCTATGACATCGACGATGCGATCACCGCAAAGGTACGAGCCGATGTCCTTACAGTCGCGATACTGATTGTAGATGTGTTTACCGCAGATGAAAAGATCGCTGCCCAGGACATACCTTAAAGTAAATTGTTAATTAAATAATTATAAATATTTCTCAAATTAATAATAAGAATACATGGAGGAGATCGGCTCGGTGAGGTTCGTGTCGAAGCTCAGGAACAGCTTTCCCTTCTTCGTGTATCCTCGGACTTCGTTCTCCGAGGCTATGAAGATCTTATCGCTTAGCGTTCCTTCAAACAATAAGTACGAATTAATTTAAGTAGGCGTGTATATCCGTTGACTATGGCAACAAACATCGTTTTGTTTTTATTTGTTGTTTTTTTTACCTTGAGCTCCAGCAAGTTGCAGGGACGTGCATTTGGGACCCGGCAGCGTCTTGAAGTGTAAAGACACGTCTTCCTTCCTGATGGAGAACACCTGCAGGACTCCATCGTTATCGGCTACGGCTATCTAAAGGTAATTGCAATTAATTAATTAAATTATGTATGTTATATAAAAAAAATTATTACCTTTTGCTGTTCGCGGTTGTTATCGATGGGCACCAATTTCATGCAATTGTTAGAATTCACCCCGATTATGGTGTAATCCACCCTAGTTAATTCCAATTCCATCTCTAACAAAGCTTTGCACTAAACACTGCGGCGTTACTTCTCCTTGTTTATTGATATTCTTGGATTGTCCCTATGGTAACCGAACATTCAAACAAGTTTCGGTTTATTATTTACGATAAAACATGAGCTAATTAATTCAAATTTTATGAAATAATTAAAATTTTATGTTTTAAACAATAATTGTTGTAACAGTAGACAAGTGCTGCATATTATTCTTCTTGGTACAAAGCTTCACCTCCATCTGTGGAAATCGATAAAGTTTGGGAAACACTGAAAATTTTCGAATTGTTCGTAAGGTTCAAGATTCCATCGGTAGACGGCGACCGTTAGGAATTTGCGCGGTGCCGAGATTGTGGTTATGTGATTTGTTTATCGCTTCTGCAAAATTTACAAATTCGAATCGGACTAAGAGGAAGGCGATGAGCATCAAACCAGAGCCGGATCCTGTGAAGAACGAGAGGTCTGGAAAGGTGAGGGAGGTCGGATGCCACGCGATATGGAGCCTCTCTTCATGCAAACCAGGCAAGAGAACTGAATAATTTCATCTGATGGATTAGTTAAAACAGAACTTGCTTTTCAGGATTTGGGGTGGATCAGCTGAGGGATGAGAGATGTGATACCTATTGGCAGTCTGATGGGCAGCTCCCGCACCTAGTGAACATACAGTTCCAGAGGAAGACAACAGTCAGTGACATTTACATATACACAGATTACAAATTGGATGAGAGCTACACGCCGAGCAGGATCTCGATTCGCGTCGGCACGCATTTCAATGATCTGCAGGAGATCGAGGTGATCATCCTATCGGAGCCTTCAGGTACGGTGATGATTTACAAAGAGTTGTCATCGACAGTAAAGCAGATGGTGTTTCAGGGTGGGTCCACATTCCCATCAAAGATTTATCAGAGAAGCCGATCAGGATGTTCATGGTGCAGATAGCGGTGACCAGCAATCACCAGAACGGACGGGACACGCACATGAGACAGATCAAGATACACAGTCCGAGCGAGGAGAACCACAACGTCGCCATCAACAATTTCAACAACTTTTCAACCGTCGATTTCCAGCAGTTCGCAACGATACGTTGAACGTGTTGAGATAATAATAACAACAACAAAAAAAAAAGGAAAAAGACTGAGACAGAAATAAGTAGATTTAAAAAATAAATCGAATATGTATAGATAGATTTTAGAGACAACAAAAAAAAAACTATGTAAAATAATCGGTAATGTTTCGTTGAATGTTTTAGTATTGTATGTTAAATGTGCGAAGATGTTGCTGGTTTGCCTATTAATTATAGGCATACAATTGATCGCTGCGAACGCCGGTGGTCATGATGAAATTGAATATCTAACGCGACATTTTTTTGCTAACCTGGAAGAAAATTTGAAAGGTATTTATATTTACAACAACAAAAAAAAATACACACACACACATTCTTAAGATTTGAAGTAATCCTAATGTTGCAGTACATATATTATACTTTGTGTGAAACAATTAATAAATGCATCAATTTAGGTATCATCTAGTCAATAAAGAATTTGCACACTCATTCAATATATACTTTCTAATCCCACCTATTTCCTGAATACATATTTCCTACATTTAGTAATTAAACAGTCTTTATATAAAGGAAATAGTGAACAAATTTTATAATAGTTTCCAATAGGACATTGATTAGTAAAATTAGAGATTAAATGATTTCAAAGTGAGCAAACGCTATTGCTTTAATATTATACAATTATTAATAACATTTATTGATGATAATAATTAGATGAAAGGGGAAATCCGTACGAGTTCATCGACAGGCAAGTGGACAATTACATTGCTGTTATTAAAGAATCTCATCCGGATGTGGTCCATGCTGCGAGATCGAGGAGAGCCGCTATCAAAAGTAACCCGATCGGTGAGTTTTAAGGTCAACTCTTCCCGTCGATTCCGAACAGCTCCTTGAAGATGTGCTGCAAGTTGTGCGCCTCCAAGTACCTGTTCAGCTCCCCCATGTCCATGTGGTTGCATCTGTTGCCCTGCGTTTGGAACGCGATCTCCTCGAAGTTCTCGAACTTACGGAACGTCTCCGGATCGACGCAATCCTCCCGCGCTTTGCACAAGATCTTCTGCCAGGTCATCGATTTGATGATCAGCCACCAACTGTTGCAGTCCCTTGCCAGACCTTCGACGCAAACTATGCCCGGCTTCCCGGGCAGACAGAATCCGGTCAAACCCAATTCGTTCGCCAATCCCACAATCTCCCTTCGTTTCGTCTTGTTGTAGATGTGATGCGAGTATATCCACAATCGAGTCAACTTCTCCTCCTCCTGACTCCTCGGCGGAGCGCTCTCGCTTGGACCATCTGCATAGTGGGTGTGGTTCTCCCTCAGCCAATCGAGTATCGAATAGACGCACGCCTCGCCCCTTTCCAATTCGCAAACGAACTTCGTACAGTCCCCGTTGATCCTGCTGTGCTGCTCCCTGCTCAGATGATTGGCTCGTATGAATATGTCCGGCTCGGCTTGAGGATACTCGTGGGACAAATTAAAAGACACCTCGATCTTGTGCTCGTCCATCGTTAGATTCACGGTGAAGTCGAGGAACGGAGGTAAATCCAGAGAGCCGTAATCGAGAAACCTGCTCATCGTAGCCAGAATCGCGTTGTCCTCGAACTTGATCTCTCCGGGATTGGGAAACATCGATTGGAGCACTTCCATCTCGCTCAGCTGCGACTGCAGATTCTCACGCAATTTTTCATCCTAAAACACAGCAAACAATTAATTATTATTAATTACTTTATAGGTTTCAACAAGCTACAAGGTTTGATACCTAAGGATAAGTTCGCGATTAAAGTGGAGTATCCGATGGACATCATGATCTTCCACCAAAAGAATTCCTCGTACGCTGCGATATTAACAGTGCGCGAGATGATTCTGTTTAAATACGAAGTAGGTTTCCGAAACGTTTTTGTTGGTTGTGTAGAAATTAATTGCTCTTAACTTATTGCAGGGAGATAAATTCAATGAAATTAACAGGACCGCCTCGACTAACGGTTTGAAGTTGGGGATGCATTCGCAGGAGAAGGTGGGTACTTTCATTGTGGTTGCTGAGAACGCCAAGTCTCACAGCAAGGTTCCGAACAAAACGGCCGTGTACCTGTTCGACGCGGATGAACGGCTGAAAATAATCCAATACCTGGACGTTGATTACGTCAGCGATGTTTCCATCTGGTAATAGCATTAATTTATAATATTTCTATATTATTGTTATGCGAATTTCAGGGGGTTTAATCAAGAACTGCACATGATTGTAACGCGTTATTACACGAAGGTGAACGATACGTACAATTACGAGGTGGACGGTCTTGTCTACAAATACAAGAACGGTTACTTTGACTTGGTGCAAAAGATCCCAACTGTAGCAGCGATAAAGGTGCAGCCGTTTGTGGTCGATAAAAGGCAGTACGTCGCTATAGCCAATAACAGGAGCGCAGTCGAAGGAGAAGAGAGGTTCACTGAGATATTCAAATACGATGTGGAGAAGGAGGAGTTCGTAAGCTTCCAGCGGATCATCACCGAAGAGATATTCGACCTGGAGGCGTTTTGCTTCAGCAACACAAAGGTCACGCATAACTTCCTGGTGATCGCAAGCAGAGATCCATACGCCCAAATGCACAACTCGATAATTTACAAATACGTCGATGACTCTTTCTTGCCAATTCAGTCTTTGAATCTGGATTCGCCCACGAATTGGTTGCCTGTTGTGGTAATTAATCCATTTTCATCTCGATGATTTGCTGCTTTCAATGTTTGCTTTTAGGGAACTGACGGCGCTTTCGCTCTCTTCGTCGCCGAAGCGCGAGGATTGAAGATTTTCCAATATACCGGATGGATATTCGCGGTGACTAAGACGCAGTACAACGAAGGCTCCATGGGACCTGGGATTATAAACATGAATTCAGAGTTTATTAACGGCGTACCAGTTGTCGGTATAAAGCAAACAACATCTGCATTTAAAGTTGTTATGAAATTTGTTGCTTTCAGTTGTAGCAAACGCTAAAGATGACGGCACAATGACCAAGATCTACGAGGTGTGCTTCGAATCGAAAGTACAGGTCGACAGCACTTACATGGATTTTCTCGAGTGGTGCCAGAAATCTTTGCAGCAAGCAAAGTTAGGACTCCCTACCGATATCCCTACAAGAAGTCGAACTTCGAGCTCCGATGAGGACGATCCGCTTATCGATATTACCGACGCTAGGATTAAGAAACCAATTGATCGAAAAGTGCGTTTAGTTTAATTTTGCTCAACAAAATAAATATCGAACTATAATTTTCTACAGCAGAGGCAAGCAGCGTTTGAGGATGGAAGCTTGGAGAGTCAATTGGAGGTTGCCTCATTGGAAATGCAAGGCGTCGAAGATGAATTGGATCGAAACCTATTGAAGAAGAATATCAATATAATCTCAGGAGACGTGATAGCCGATAGCATAGTCTTTCACGAAGATCTCTTCTCGGACATCTACGCTGAAAGGATCAACGATAATATCGATGTTAACCGTTTCCTTTCGAACGTTATTAACATCAACAGCGATTTTGAGCTTCAGAAGCTTGATTTGGCTACGGCGAGATTTGAAGAGGATTTTGTCACGGAATTCATTAACGGAAGACCATCCAGCGAGATGCTGAGCACCGAAGTTTCGTTGGAAAGTTTGAATATTGAAGGAGATGTTGTTTTCGTGAGCGCTATAAACGTCGAGGATAACTTGAACAATATTGCTTTTTCGAAAGAGAACATCCTTTTAGTTAAAGGTGATCAAATTTTCAAGAAAGGATTGAACTTGAGCAATGTCGATGCGGAGGAAATCAGTACCAAGTATATCAATAAGTTGCTCATGTCCAGTATCCCGCACGTATCGAGGAGAAAGATGATCACGAAACTGGACTCGCTGAGAGCGAAGAACGTAGTGATCGACGGTTTGCTCAACAACATCGACCTGCCGACTCTGTATAAATACGTGCTGAGGAATTCCGGAGATCAGGAAATCACGACTCAATACATTTTCGATGAGCTGAAAGTGGAGAACGTGGAGACGCGTTTGATGAACGGCATCAACGTGCCCCATGATCTGGTCGTGATCAACGAGGGTGAGTTCGAGATCGAACAGGAGGTGATCTTCCTGCAGGATATTGCAGTCGACGAGGTGTTCGTCTCGAGCAAATTGAACGATGTCAACGTGCTTAACGGAAAACTGGACGTTCTTTTGCGCAACTCAAACGATGTACAGCACATCTCCGGGTCGAAGAGCTTCGAGAGTATTGATATGCTAGCACCTATAAAACTGCAGTGCAAGATCAAATGTGAGCAGTTGGATCGCATCAATCCGGTTACCAAATTCAGAGAGAACATCGTCGTTTCCGGTAACTACACACTCGAGGGTGACGTTACGGTGGAGAATCTTCTACAGACTACAGATTTGAAGCCAACAAACTCGAGGTATTCTCTTGGGTCTTTACAACAGTTCGGGCTTCGAGTCGCAGACACCCAAATACCCATCCATCTGGTATTCAAGCAGCAACTAAATGTATATGCTACATTCACTCACACAATACACCATCTAATTGTATTGTATATTTCGCAGGTCTTGGATGTTTCCGCCGATAGAATCAACGGCATTGAGACGCAAGCTTGGGTGGTGAACGGCGGCAACGACACGCAACGCATCAAAGGCTGGAAAATCTTTGAAGGGGATTTAGTAATCGTAGGAGATACAAGTTTGCTCAACGTGAACGGAATCCATTTACACAGCTTCGATCAGAACGTGCTCAAGATCGATGGTGATCAAGTCATAACTGGAAAACATCATATAGCCAGTATAAATACACCGAGGTATTAATATTTTTTTATCTTATTATCAAATTATAAAATTGTAATTGAATATTTCAGTATTTACTCTTCGAGTATCAAAATGGGACAAAGAGACTGGAGCGATTTGGTTCTGAATAACGTAGAGCAAATTATCACCGGAACAACTAAGATTCAGTCGTTGGAGGTAGGTGGAGTGGAAACGGAAAATGTAAGCGTGAACGGAAAGATCAACGGTATAGACCTCTCCGAGATGCTCTCGGATTCAGTTTACGTGGATTCCACGGACACGATAGGCGGTAGGAAATGGTTCAAGAACGTAACCGTTGACAATCTGACTTCGAAGAAAGATATCAAAATGAATAAAATCCCGACCATGTTGAAGAAGGCCCAGGCTACGTTCAATGAAGATCTGGAGTTATCCAATAACGTTGCCATCGAGAAGATTACCTTCAAGTCTACGATGAACGGAATCAGCGCCGACGAATTCGCAGCGAACTGGGTCAACGGAGAGGATATAGTTATCGCCGGGGATAAACACCTGGACACTCTAATTTTGCACGGAGGCCTCTTCGTGGATTCGAATCGTATCAACAACGTCGACCTGACAGACCTCGCCGTTAATTCCGTAAAGGCAGACGAACCGCACACCTTTAACTCGATTCAATTTAGTAGGTTAAATCTAAACTGGTAAAGTATTATATGTAATTTGGGTTATTTTAGAAAACGATTTGATCGCCTTGTCGGGCTTCGAATTGCGAGGGCATATCGAGAAAGTGGATATAAACAATATAGTCGCAGATGCCGACATCGAACTTATCCTAACCGATTCGATCACATTCAATGAGAACGTGACAATATTGGATGGGAAATTGTACGTGGAGGGTTTGGTCAACGGGAAGAGTTTAGGAGAGTTATGCACATTCAGCGATCCTGTCAATGGAGATGAGAAGAACTTGATTATCGAAGGTAATAAGAGATTCTGTTTTTTAAATTTGTTTTTGTAATTATTTCGTCTAGGGAATGCGTTCTTCGCGAAAAGCCCCAAAGTGGATTTGGTCAATGGATTGAGTATTTCGGAGATTCACCAGAACACATGGTTGAGGAATCGCGAGACGACTTTCAAGGGGCATTTGGATTTCGGTGATCTTCATTTCGAATCGGACGTCTTCGTCAGGGGATACGTGAACGAAGTGCCTCTAGATTGGGTTAAAAACAATTATTTGAGCAAGAGTCGTAATCAGACGGTCGTTGCCAAACTGGATTTTGCTGAGGGAATCGTCTTTGCTTCGGACGTGATCGCACCCAAATGCGAGCTGAAAGGTTCGCTTTCTGGTATCGATCTGAACAGCTTCTTCGCCACGGCTATCCTCCAGGATCAAGATCAAATTTTCGAAGAAATTCCCTACATTCAAACTGTTTACATAGATGGTAAGTAGCCTGGTTTATATCTAAATCTGTCTATTTTTCAAGATCTTATTTCAGAACTATCTGGAGAATTCCTATTGAACAACTACAATTTGCAAAGCGATCTCATGAGATACGATGCACCGAACGTGGTGACTGGAAAGAAGGTAGTGCAAGATCTAACGACGGACGTCCTCTCTTTAAACCGAAACAACCGTATCCAAGATGTGGATGTGCTCGATTGGATGCAGAAGGCAGTCCCAAAGACAGGCAACTTCCAAGTCAAAGGACGTCTGCATTTCGAGAACGATACCATTTTCAAGAACGGCATTGGGTATTTATTTATCTTCATCCACGTATTGTTTGATATTCTAATTCAATTTTTCAGATTGGAAGGTTCCTTCAACCAAATGAAATTCAACTCCAGCAATATTTTGTTAAAGTCCTCGGATCAAACCATCACCGCCAAAAAGATCTTCAACTCGAACACCAACAGTTTCCAATCTATAAAGTTGCAGGGTCTGTTCAATAACATCGAAGTCGGAAAATTCGTTGATAGACTCGTGAGTGACAATTAATAATCCATTGCAATTAATAAATTGATGCGTTTTTAGGCATTACGAGAAGGCGATCAAACCTTCGTGACTCCTCTCACCTTCAACTCGGAACTTACGGCAGGGAATATCCAAATAGACGGTCTCTATCAAGGCGTGAACGTGTCCGAATTACTGTTCAACTTGACCCACGTCATCTCCGTTAACAATTATTATAATAACTACGCAAATTTGAAGGAGATCTCCACGAAAATCCAAGACTCCTTGAAACGTATGTTCAAACTGAGTATGAGAAGAGTTTTTATTTGTTAATTGATTATATTTCCAGATCAAGCTCATTATTTGAGCCATTACAGAACAGTGCAGATTTTCGAATCTGTTGGCGACGTTCTTTTCGTGAAGAATTTGCTGGGTGAACCACATTTGGCTATGCTAGGACAGAACGGTTCGCAGTATTTGATAAACTTTTGGATTTGGTCGCAGCATTCAGAAACCTTCGTTTACGATCCTCGTAAGTCAATTAATTTCAATTTGATTCGTTTACTAAAAATTATTTATACTTTAAGGATCGTTGGAGATTTTGTACAATCATTACTTCACTCTGGTAACGCCTTTGGAGTACGATACAGATTCTTACCTGTTCATTGAACATTTGACCTACGATGATCCTCATAATAGTTTTTTGGGCGAGTTGATATCCGTGGTTAATTCTACGGCTATTGAGATTGTAGGCAAGATCCCGAGTAATGGTACAAAACAGGCACTAGCCTTAACAATACCAAATGCCGAAAGGGCTTGCATCCTTCTGGTTTACCACTCCTCGCATACCATTGATATTTACTGCGATGAAGAGGAATTGCATTTATTCCAGCGACTCAAAATATCTAAAGCTCTGATGGTACGTTATCAAAAAAAATGTAATTTCGCAAGAATAACCATTTCTTTTAGGCGACGACCATCACCATCGACTCCTGCAGTTACATCTTAGCCATCGCTGAGGAATCGTCGCTGATGGTGTGGCAGTACGACGAGAACACGAAGTTGTTCACAGAGCATCAGAATATCTACGTGGTGAGTCCGAACAGCGTATCGACGGTGACCTACAACGGTCTCCATTACCTGGCCATCGGGTCTAGACATCTGCTGGACACCGTCTACCCAGGCCAGGTAGAGCTGATGCGCTTCGACGTCTCCACCAAGTTGTTCACCAAGTGGCAGGAATTCAGCATAAACGCTCCCATCCAAGTAGAGTTCGCCGTCCTCCCCAGCAACGAGCTGATCCTGTATGTCCTGTGCGACAGCTCCACCGAACCATTGGTCATGTACCAGTACCAGGGAATAGCAAAGTTCTCGCGCACCTTTGCAGCCTCTTCGTTGATGAAGTGCTCTTCCATCACCCAGTTCAGCACATCAAACAATCACTTCATCATCGCCAAAGGGAACAACGAGTTCAGAATCATAGAGGCCATCTTCAAAGGCAACAAATATTAAAACGTTTTTTTTTCTTGTTCATCGTCCTTTTTCGTATTGTACTTAAATCAATTCAAATAATTTGAAACTTACCACAAATTATTTTGTATACATATCAAAATTAAAACATAATTTAAATGCGCCGCAAAAAGATTTAAGTTTAACGTAGAGAAAAAAAATGGTTGGAAAACACTGCTATAAATCAATATTTTAAAAATAACGAAATATGCAACCAAACGTACACGAAAATTATTTAATTACATTTTTCTTTATAATTGAAAACGTAAATAAGCAAATATTTATATAATTAAATTTATATAAAACTTGCAATCGCATCACAATTAAAAAAGCAGATTTTAATGTATACAACCAAATGTGCACCTAAGAATATTTCTCTTACAGCTTTTACTTGACAAACCATAATTTGAATTGAAATACGCTAGAAGAATTATGATTTATCTTATTTATCTAAATAATACCCTTCAAAATAGTTTGAAAGAAATCTTAGGTTATCTTATCATCCAATAAGCATGTGAATAATCAAAAAAGCACTTACCATTTGAATTACAAAATTGATAACAATTCACCAAGATATAATTAAAAAGTGATAATGTTCAATTGTATTACTTTTGTCACTGTTTTACTAATATCGAGTACAGGAAGACCGGAATCAACAATAAATACAAAAACATATGTTTTATCAGTTTAGTCTACTTCTACAACACGTTTGCATTGCAAAAGCCTATTAATGCGTAGATATATGTGTTTGTTAAATCTGTTCAGACATTGGTTTATAGATGTCGATGCATGTTAGTAAGTTTTTAAGTGTACTTATATAATTTGAATCTGCATATTGGGAATGTCCATTTAATAGCGATTTGCATTTATCTATGTGATTAATTGTTTTGTATCGTAATTTAAAGATCAAGATAATTGCATAACAATGTTAATGATTTAATTAATCATTTAGTAATAATTATTAATATTTGATGAATTACTAAAGTAATTTAATATTTGCTACGCACTTTATATACGATTTACGCGATATTTTACAAGTTACAAGTAAATAGAAAATATAATTTCATATTGTTATTAAGTTGTCATGGAGATTTATATTGGATTCAGTTAGCTGACTAGATCTTGAGATGTGTCATAGTAATAATTACACTATAGAAGCGGAGGTGTTAATGTGTTGATTTTTTTGTTGTTGCTTGATGTTATGAGGAATATATTATTGTTATCATTACTTTTATAAGCGTTAATCGCATCTAAGTGTAATTAAAATGGTAATGGGAGCTTAATTAGAATCGTAGCGGCTCCGCTTCTTAATAGGATGAGAAGCAATTTGAGAATGTAAGGGCGTTAATGGCTGAAGCCTCATTTCATAAACATCGATTAAAAGGGTTAGCGCCGCCAGCAGCAGCAGCCGCCACCCCCGAGCGCCAAATTAAGAAGCAGCGGACACCTCATTCTCATCCTCAGCTTCGACCTCATCTTCTCATCCCTTAAAAACATCCTAACACGCTAATTACTCATACAGTGAAGTGTATGCATAATTCAGTTGCCTTCGCCCTCGACTTTTTCGCAACAAGCGTTTTCTCTTTTGCCGCGTGCGTGTGCGGATCAATTACGAAATTGGTTTTTGAGTGATAAATCAATCTGATTAAACAACGATTTGACAACGCCAAAAGTGGACGTCGGTGTGCCACGTGGCTGCTGCGGCTGCTGCTGCTGCTCTCATCCGTTCGAAAGGTCCTCTTCGAGTGTGTGGGCCGCCACGTGCGAAGCCGCCCGCCCGCCCTTCGACCATTGTCATCGCGAACGACGGATGCAATTATGACCTCCTTGTTGCTTCCGGACAACCGGATAATCCGTTACACGCGATTTGTTTATCTTCATGTTAATCGTGTTGTCCTTTTGTACCTCGCACGCGCACGCACTTCAAAAGAGCAAAAATCAAATGACGACATGTCAAAAATGGATTTTCATTTGTTTCCAGAGTCAATAACAAAATAACAATTAAAATTTTATAATAAATGTTATCAATTGTATCATAATTCAATTAAGAAAAGCACTTTAAATGAAAAAGCTAAGAAATTACAACATTATTACTAAAAATAACTTATACAACTTTTGTATTTCCATTATGCAGATGTTTTATATTATTTTTGTTTTTGTTGTTGCCTTGGTTATCAGTTTTTCTCTTGTTGTTTCGGGCGAATGCTTCCACCCTCCGGGTTGATTCTTTTTGCGTCGGGTTCGTCCGGTCCTTGGGGATTTCCGTCGGCGGTGGTGGTTTTCTGTGACCGGGACTGAGGCGTTCTTCCCATCGTAAACATTGGCGCGCGCGATAGGGCCTCAGGCCACCACCAACACCGATGTCGCATTCGAATCTCAAGAGACGAAGAATCGATGCCGGGACATCCAATTATTAACACACACACACACACACTCGAACGCGCGCCGAATTCAATATTCACTGCAACTCCGATCCTCCAGCGGATTTACGACCGTCCGCGACGTTCGCTGGGAATTTCACACGCTGCACAAAAGGACTGGGAAAACAATTAAAAGATGTTTTTCACGAAAACCGAGAAATCAGGGGGAACACAATGATCCCTTATGCAATTACGATATTAAAACCCTATTCGTAACTCAAATGTCTGTAATGATAGAGATTTGCTGTATTATTAATCTCGTATATCATAAATATGACTGATATTAACACAAGTTTCATATTGTTACAAATACTACATTTAAAAATCATGAGTGTTAAATTTATTAAAATCTTTTATTTTCTAAAATCAAGCTCCACGTTTTAGTTAATTATTCAAAATCTACAATAGTCACAGATATGTTAGTATGCTTATATGAAAGCTAAATATTCAGTGAATAAAATGTGTATAAATGAAGATTTGTAATGCCAACAGATTTACAGTAATTTACAGTTAAAGTTGAAGTAAATAAATTTTACTTTTTTGTAAATTATTCAAAATCTACTATAGTTACAGACAAGTCAGAGTGTTTATATCAAAGCTTGATATCCAATGAATAAAATGTGTGTAAATGAGCCAACAGATTCACTATCAAAGTTGATGTAATAAAATTTTAGGCGGTAAAAAAAGCAGTGGCTTTACAATTTGGTGCATTTCTCAAAATCTACAATAGTCACAGATATGTTAGTATGCTTATATGAAAGCTAGATATTCAATGAATGAAATGTGCATAAAACGAGATTTGTAGCGTCAACAGATTTCTTGTAATTTATCGTAAAAGTTGAAGTTCTAAAAATTAAAAAGTGTTTTCACTTTTGGCGAATTTCTCAGTCTATAACAGATATATAAGAGTACTTATATGAGAGCTGGATATTTGGTGAATAAAATATGACTGATATTAACACAAATTTCATATTGTTACAAATACTAATTTTAAGAATCAAGAGTGTTAATTTTATCAAAATCTTTTATTTTCTAAACTTAAGCTTCACGTTTTAGTTAATTATTCAAAATCTACGATTGCCACAGACAAGTTAGAGTGTTTATATGAAAGCTAAATAATCATTGAATAAAATGGGCATAAATGAAGATTTGTAATGCCAACAAATTTACAGTAATTTACAGTTAAAGTTGATGTAAATAAATTTTACTTTTTTGTGCATTATTCAAAATCTAGTATAGTTACAGATATGTCAGTATGCTTATATCAAAGCTTGATGTCTAATGAATAAAATTTGTGCAAAAGAAAATTTGTAGCGCCAGCAGATTCACTATCAAAGTTGATGTAATGAAATTTTAGGCAGTAAAAAAAGCAGTGTCTTTACAATTTGATGCATTTCTCAAAATCTACAATAGTCACAGACAAGTCCGAGTGCTTATATGAAAGCTAAATATTCAATGAATAAAATGTGCATAAATGATGATTCGTAATGCCAACAGATTTACAGTAATTTACAGTTAAAGTTGAAGTAATTAAATTTTACTTTTTTTTGTGAATTATTCAAAATCTACTATAGTTACAGATATGTTAGTATGCTTATATCAAAGCTTGAATAAAATGTGTGTAAATGAAAATTTGTAGCGCCAACAGATTCACTATCAAAGTTGATGTAATTAAATTTTAGGCGGTAAAAGAAGCGGTGTCTTTACAATTTGGTGCATTTCTCAAAATCTACAATAGTCACAGATATGTTAGTATGCTTATATGAAAGCTAGATATTCAATGAATAAAATGTGCATAAAACGAGATTTGTAGCGTCAACAGATTTCTTGTAAAAGTTGAAGTTAAAGTAATAGAAACGTGAATTATTCAAATTGAAATAGGTATTAAAATGTGAATTTATTGGTAATTCGTTGATGATGAAGATGGACTAATGAACAATTGAGCGAAATCAAATATCGAGTGAGGACATGTTTCGGCGGGACGGAAGGAATTTGAAAGCAATTCGCTTGTAATGCGGAACGGCGGAACGGTTTGTAAATCGCGTGCGGATGAGGTGGAAAAACGAAGGGGGGTTTTTAGGGGTTCGAGTTCCGAATACAAATCTGTCGAGTTTAAACTAGTACACGTAGCCAGTATATAAAATCGCATATGCCGTGTTTGGTTAGGCTCCGTTCAATTGTTTAGGAGCGGCGGACAAGTGTAGGTGCTGGTGGTTGTAGTAATAATGAGGGGATAAAAGGGGAGGAAAGGGCCGGACGTTTAGAATCAGAGCAAAGGGGAAGAGAGAGAGACAGAGACAAAGATAGAAAGAGATGTATAAAGGGGGGGGCGCGCGCCTGCAAAAAGCGACTGTGACAAATGTCCGTGTACCGAGCGAGCGACCGGCCAACTTGACTGGATTGGATGGGTCACGTGTCCGTCCGGAGAGCGCGCGCTTTCCGATCATCATCTACTTGTTTGTACCCTATATACTAAAGACCATCTGGCTCCTACATCCAAACCCCACAACACGATCCGAGCTCACAACATTTAACAATCACCATTCGCAGAGACTCCAATCATCCGATTACGATCGAATGGACTCCTCTCTTTCCTCTCTTCCCCGAGACATCAATGACACGAAAAATGACACACGATCATATAATAATAATCATCATCATCAATTTCCACTCACTTTTCGCCGCACATCACACACCATAAATTCCGCATTAGACTAATGCCTCTGACGATGACTCTCGTAATAAACACATAAGCGGCGGCAGGTCTTCCTTTGCAAAACTACTACACTAGTGCCCTTATGCCACTTTTCGCTCACCAGAATATGCATAATTTAATTATTACATCACGTTAGAAGTAACAAAAGAAAAAAAAAGCAAATTTCACTTTAAATTATTATAGTTTTTCAACTGTTTTTGTCTCAAAGCACACTTAAATCTATAATTAAACTGTTGCTGCAACTTATAGATAAAATTAAAAAGAAATCATTTGAATTAATGATCGTTACACCGGTTGATAACAATTAAAATAATGAAACTGTTTTAAAAAAATAACAAAGTTATTATAAAAATGAACTTAATAGAATAGTTTTTCAACTGTTTTTGTCTCAAAGCACACTTAAATCTGTAATTAAACTTTTACTTCACATTTGAACTTATAGGTTAAATTAAGCTTTAGATATCATTAGAAAACATTTGAATTAATGATCGTTACACCGGTTGATAACGATTCCAATAATGAAACTATCTTAATTATCT